GAGGCAATGGACAAGAGTCTGAAGGAAGCGGCTGATGGCAAGTCAGAGAGTTCTGACAGCTCCTCTGAGTCCGATTGCTCCAGTGAATCATCTACTGTTGGTCTAGCAAAGGCCAAGAAGGGCAAAGCTGCTTCCAAAGCCAAGGCTATGGCAAGGCCAGCCAGGACAGACAAGGGAAAGGACGTGGAGACTCCACCTGTGGCAGAAGCAATGCCTGCCTCAGCTGCTTCGCAAGCTGACATCGCCAAGTCTGAGAAGTCCATTGGATCCAGTGTCACTGAGAAAGTGACTCCAACAGCTCTCTTGGACAAAGCAAATGCCAGTCTCAAGTCTCTGAAGGAGGTGACACCTTGGCTGATGTGTTCTCATCAAATCAAGGGAAAGGACGTAGAGCAAAGGATGGCCAAAGCCTTGGAGCTGAGTTCTAAATGTGAGGCTTTGGGAGGCAATCACGTGGCTGTGAAAGACGTAGGTGTCCAATTGGGTGACGAGGTGAACCGCCTATCAATGGATGAGTCCCTCCTATCTGCTCTGGCCTCATCAGAGATGGAGACCCACTTGAGCAATGCAAAGGAGATTGCTGACATTTGCTTGTCATTGGGCCCCATGGAGATGGTCAGCTTGCTTTCTGACATTGGCAGGAAGCTTTGTGATTCTTTGCTGAGCTCTGGTGGGCAATCCACCTTTTTCTACAGCTTTTTGCCCGTTGGATGTGGAGTGCAGGATCATCACCGCAAGTTTTGCCTCAACTTCTTGAAGAGCAAAGGGAAGGAAGGTGACGAGGTGGACAGAGTGATCACACAAGTGCAGCAGGCAGCTTTGAGTTACTTCATGGACCGCTTCCGTTCATTGTCTGCCAACTTGGAGGCGATCCTGCAGTCCATCCCCAAGCAGTGGTACTTCCCAGAAATTTGCAGGATGAACAGGGGTTGGGAGGTTGCTGGGTGGAGAGGCTGTGGATTTATATTTATATATATAAATTTATACTTATATAATATATAAATATATTATATATATATGATGACTCGATGACTCATTTAAATTTAGACCAGTTCTATCTTTCGAGAACTTTGGAGTTTTGAGTTTTCTCAATTGTCTGCTAAGTAATGGATCAGAGTCAAGTGATATTCTTTACTGTGTTGATTGATGTGATGTGACTGTGTTGATATCAGGACCCCGATTCCAGCAAGTGCTCCTTTGACCTGGATCCCAATTGAGACTGGCCTCGTCAATCAGACCGGGATTGTGACAAAGGTCCTCATTGACCTTCAGCGCTTCATGGTTTGTGCTATTGCCTCTTCAGACGCTCATATCCCAAATGGTGAGAAGCAGGGGCTGAAGATTGTGGTTGCTTCTTCTGCAAATCTTTCAGCACGTGTGTCCTTGGTCATCAAGTCCAATGCTGCCATCAGGATCCTGGAGGGTTGTCAGGGTAGGGTCGGTTGAGTCTGTTGTCTATTTTTATCAGACCAGAAGGCTCACAGACTCATGAACTCATGGGCTTATATAAGACCCCAGGTGGATTGTCAGCAAACTGTTGTGTTGTTATTGTCAAGTCATTGTCATGTGGTGCTTCCCCTCCAAAGGAACTTGTGGCAAAAAGCAACTGCCATAGCCAAGACAGCCCTGGATGAGAAGGCCGCCTTGCTGCAGGCATCAGATTTGACAAGTGCGTTGACTTGCGTGGAGGCTACAATGCTTTCCAAAGGTCAGCCAGACATGGAGAGGTGGAATGCGCTTGCCTGTGTGGAAGACGTGATCCACCTTCTTGAAGGGAAGGAAGGGATGACACAGGAGCAAGCTTCTGTGGTCACCCAACTTCTGGATGCAAAGAAGTCTTTGCTGGAACAGGCTACACTCCTTCCTCCAGCATTGCCCCTGCTCAATACATTCCTGGCTGCTCAGTGGTCTACTGATCAGCAAGGTCTCAGTAAGTTCGTCTTCACCTCCGAGGATGAGGAGAATGCTGCCAGTGAGACAATTTTCTTCCGGAACATGACTGCAGGCACTCCCAGTGGTTTTGTGGGCCGAAGTCATGTTTCCTTCAAGGTTTCCATACTATACTTTACCATTGATTGATCATGTCAATACAGGATGAGCTGTTGATGGATTATGACATGATTGACTCGACTCACATGATATTGTGATTTCAGATTCTTAGTGAATCAAAATCAAATCAGTCAAACTCAATTGACATTCCACATTTTACGTACAGTAAAAACACGTGGATGATGACAGATGGCAAATTGCATTTGTTGCACATTTGTTGTGATGCTCCCCCTGCAGCCTTGATGGACCTGAACTTTCAGAAGTCGATGCCCAAAGACGTGGCCAGCTTGATTCTCAACATCGGGCAATCTTGTCACGACTTCCATTCTGCTGAAAACAAGAAGGATGTGGAGAAGGCATTGGCTCTGTGGCGAGTTGTCCAGAAGTACCTGACTCCAGCAATGCGGCTCTCCAGTCAGGAGCAAGCCCAACACCAAACCATTGGCCATGCAAGTGGCATGGTGAGCCGATTGCAGACCAAGCTTTGTGCTGGTGTTGAGGATCTTTGCAAGACCGCTGTGAAGGACCTTGGGATTGCCAAGGCCGTGGACTCCATCACCCAGGCCTTGGCCCTACCACAGCCAACTCCAGAGAAAGCTTCTCAGATGGTCCACTCCCTGCGAGTTGCTGCCAAGCTTGGAGATGAGTTGAATGAGAAGTCCATTCTGCCAGAGCAGGAGTCTCTTCAAAGCAGCTTGTCAGTCTACTTGAAGGTTCATTCAATGAAGCTCGATTTCTTGCGGGCTGTAGTGCCTGAGACAACTGAGAGGATTCAGCGGTTTACTATGACATGTGAGCACTCACTGCAAACGTGGTTGGAACAGCAGACCGAGTACTTTCGCAAGCCATTGGAAGAATTGGAGCAGTACAGGCCAGTTCATTGTTCTCAAACCAAATCATTCTGACTGCTGTGTTGTACCATCAAGTCATTGCCATTGCTCAAATCATTGTCAAGTCACGAGTTCATTGTCATGTCAATGGTGTATTCATTTGTTGTCAGTCAACCAATTCAAGATGCACTGGATTAAAACACACATGTTTTGAAGCTGGAACCCTATGTTTAAAATCGTTACCAAATTGAATTGTATCTGTATATAACTGTATATATAATACAGTACATATAATGCGCTTGTCATGTCTGTTGAATTCAACTGTTCTTTAGGGTTTGCTCTGCTTTGTGAGGCCTCTTCTTTCAGCAGTGGAGGATTGGAAACTGGAACCAGTTTCATGGATGTTCACTCAAGAGAATGCCAAAGACTTGGAGGCAAAGGTCAACCAGCTGATGGAGGTCAGGGAGAAAGGCGGTGGGATCATTCCTTTGCTCAAGGCATTGCAAGGGTGCCTCAGCTCAATGCCTGAGGATGAATCCTGGGGCCGCTCTTTGTTCACAAAGTTGCTTCCTGATGTAGAGGACTGGAATTGGGGAAACTTGGGAATTTTGAACGGTTGGATTGCCACTGTGCACTGTACTTTTGATTTTTAAAGATGGTGTGTTTTCAGACTTGCTTTGTTTTCATTTTTCTTTGATATCGATAGTCCCTAGTCCTATATTCAGAATAGTCTGATATTGTTTTGGAACTGGGATCATGTCAGGACTTCCGAAAGACCTTGGCGCTCTATGTTTCCTATGTGCAAGCTGTTGACCTGGTGCTCAACCATGCTGATCTTCAGTCCACGGACCTGAAGCCAACCCATGCCAGGATTATGCAGGAAAATGCCAGTGTCGGAGTTTCTCGGCAAGACTTGCCAGCAGAGGTCAGAAAGAGATTGGACAATCTCCTTGAGACTGGAGACCCCAACAAGATGCAAGCTGATGCCAAGGCTAAGCCAGCACCAAAGCGCAAGAAGGAACAAAAGCAGGAGGAGGGAGAGGATGGCAAGGCGACCAAACAGCGTCGCTCCGCTCCTGACACCAGGAAGAGGAAGAAGAACTGATCCACTGACCATGGATTTCGAGTTTTGAGCAATCTCAGTGTGACCTCTAGGAAGGGCTAGAGGGTTCAAATGTGGGGTCAATCAATGCTTCTGGCATAGGATGTCCTTGCCCAAGTATCTTGATAACTGTTCAAGTGTTGGTCTCTGTCAGCTGACAAGTGTTTGTTTCACAGGTCATGAGTCAAATCCTCATAATGCTATATTGTTTGTTTTCCACTGAGGGCTTGGATTCAGGCCAGTGAGTGCGTTGATATTTAGATATCCAAATGATGGATGACAAACTGTCACGACTCTGTGTTGCCAGCGAGAAATGTTTTGAGTGCGTTTGTCAAGGCACTGGGTGGTGCTGTGGTTGGGGGAAGTCAGAAGGGGCGGAAAAGAGGACACAACTAAAAGGTTCAAGGATTTGCTATCTACTTTGCACCCCTATTTTTGTTTTGTTACTCGATGTTCTCTATATGGCCTGTCATAGGGTCAAAAACTTGTACACCTACCACACTGCAATGTTCTCAACAGGACTGAGACTTGGCAGATTTGCCACACAACATGTGTCATATGTGCTGTGGGTTATTGACTAGACTGCGCAAATAACTGAATAGCTCCACAAATGCTTCCATGAAGCTATGCAAATCTAGTATTAACCCCAGGGAAATTAGTATTAGCACCCAGGAATTTAGTATTAGCACCTAGGAATTCAGTATCAGCTCCACAATATCATCCAGGAATTTAGTATTAGCACCCAGGAATTTAGTATTAGTCCCACCCAGGAATTTAGTATTAGCACCCAGGAATTTAGTATTAGTTCCACATATCACCCAGAATTTAGTATTAGTTTTGGAAAATTTAGAAATAGCTTTTACCTCTCACAGACAAAGAGGCTGATGCCACCCCCAAGTCATGCTGTCAAACATGTAGGCTGTTGCTCTGTTTTGGACGCATAGATTCACCCATGCTGTTTCGGGCCTTGTTATTGTGGCTCTTCCCGGCTCCATCCTCCCCGGTCGCCGATCGATCAGGATGACCAGCTGGAAAGCGAGGCTCGGTGGGGCGCGAGGTTGGTCCAGCAGTCGGAGTCCGGATGTGATCTCCTGGGTCGCGAGAAGAAAAGGAAACAATCACACTTAGGAACAGTTGTGTGGAATTGTGGAAATCATTCAGAAGAGTTGTGCCATTTATGAAAGGTGGGTTGGTTGGTACATGGCCCTCGGGCCCAGTAAGGCCAAGCCCAACATCATCCAACATTGATTCTTTCAGTAGACTGGCTGAACATGTCTTCCTTGCACACGGAATAACTAAATTTAGCCTCCTTCAGTGCAGTGCAGCCTCCTTCTGCGGACCATTTTGTGGTCTACTGAACACGAAGAGCCTAAACTTCAGGTTATTTTTGTTGCTTTAGTTCGGGGACACGAGCATCAGTCTCTTACAATTTCTGTGATGTGTCTGAACAAATCTCTGGATCTTAAGGATCATATCTTCGAACACCTTGGCAAAGTCCGTGTTAGGATGGTCAAGGCTGTTGACCTAATTCAGCTGATCTCTTCTAACAAAGGTAATCCAAGGTGTTTTTTGAGGATGTTATAGCACGAGCCTTCTGAAGACCTGTCAGCCTGGCTTCCAAGGGACCAGCAGCACCAAGCTTCGGAAGCTTCACGGTGGTCATTCCCACACAGGTGGGCGGACATGAACATGAAGCATTCCTCTGAAACGGTTGTCAATGGGTTGCATGATTCAACCCGCGAAACAAACTACACTCCCTGAAACAATCCTGGACGTGCAACATGGCCCCTTGGATGACCATTTTCCTCTATACAAACAGGTGTTTTTTTTTCACTTCCGTGACTGTTTTGAAGGTTTCGTATGCAGGGTCCGCGGAATCCAATAGTATGTGTTCCTGAGACTTCGCGCTGAATCTAATGATGCTTCAAATCCAGCCGCCAGATTAGGCCCTTAGCATGCAATCAAACAATTGAACGGAACTCCTCCAGGTTTGACCGTTGCCAAATAAGAGGAAGGAACCCTGCCATTCCAAGTGGAGCTAGATGTTTGAACGTAAGATGACGTAAGTAATTGCTCCTTTCTACCACAATAGAAAGAGGATGTTTTGCTCATTCCCTCCCCACCATGACCGCTCTGTGACTCGACCAGACCTTGGTGCTCCGTCCATTGATACTCGTTTCACATGCTTCGGCATCCCTCAGGCCCATGCCACGTTGGGCTTGATGTGGGATTCGGCCAGCGAGGCGGCGGGGCCCATGGTGCTGGACGTGCAAAGCACCGGCGCAGTGCCCAAATTCAATCAGCTCCATCCCAAGCAGGCAGGGCCTGGCGCGGGAAGGAATCGGGACCTTAAATGGACCCAAGGACAAGCAGGACATGGGTGCAAAATGAGTGCCCCTCAAGAGAAGACCTGAGTCCAGTCCATTGGATGTTTGCCACGAAGGCTGTGTGGGTGTTCGTTAGTCTATGTGTTAGTCATTTTGCATGTGATATACCTCCCAAGTCGCATGGTTTACTCATTTTGATACGGTCCCAGCATGTGGGACGATTGGTTTGTCAACGTAATTTGGGTAATTATGTCATATTATGTCATGTGTTGCTTTCGACCAAGAATCTTCAGTTGCCCCTTCTGATGTATGGACTCTTCATCACTCTTTCGGAACAACCCATTTCATGGGCATCAAATTTCACGATTCTGCGATCTTTGACACTTCAGGCCATTCGGCCGAACGATGTCATCGCCTCAATCGATGATGAAAGCCAGCATGCGGCAGTGCTGTCGAAGCTGACGCTGGATCAATGAATAGTAGTTGTTTTAGAGTTTTTTTCCCCTTTGAACTTGCAGGATCCTTTAACATTCTTTTTCATCGTTTTCCTTGACCCAGAGGACATGACGAGAAGAACCTGGACCTTGAATGACCTTGAGAGTTCCCAAACAATTGATCCCGCTTGACTTGCCCCAGGAACGGCCCCTTGCCCGATCAAGTCAAGCTGGTCGTGAAGCGGCCGAGAGAGGTCAAAGTGTCCCTCTCCAAGCCGGGTGCGTGCGGAAACTCAGGGATTGCATGGACGCACGTCGGCCATGGACTGGTGGAGCCCAGGCAGCCCAGGGCTGGATTCTGGATCAGACCATTCCATCAATGGTGAGAGTTTTGCTCCTAGTAGTGATGCCAGGAGCCCCTAGTAGCACCCTTGCTCCTAGTAGTAAGGCCAGGAGCCTCTAGCAGCTTCTTTCTCCTAGTAGCTGTCAGAGTTTTGCATAGAAGTCATGAACACAGACCATGTAAAGCATTATAGTCCACGACCAAAAGCGATACCCAAACAGATCCACCTGGATCAATTGATTCAGATTCAGACCTTGTTTGCTGTAGCGATACTGCGATACCTAAGAATTCACAAGATGCGGGAGAAGGAAGGGTTGCTATGTCAATTCAATATTGTAAAGTCATATGGCAAACTACCAAAAGCGATGCCTAAACACGGAAAACCGGTTGTGTAAACAGAGTTTTTAGCACTCGCTCATTTTCACCCATGGTGAGTTTTCGATCTATTTCTGTGTTTTTCATTGTGCTGTATTGTACTGCAATGTTTTCTTTCAAAACTCGCTGCTTTGAGACGACCCCACATGTATTTAGATGATTGTAAATCTCACCAGGGATGGGTCTTACCGTGCCCCGACCAATCAAACTTTCATGTCCCTTCTGGTGATTTTGGGCTGAGAGGACGATGTTTGGTCAGATGTTCAGTGATCCATGCTATGTAAAGAGTGCCCCCTAAATGTTTGAATTTGTTTGTCGCGAAGTTCTCACCCTCCTCAAGTGTGAAATGTTTGTCCCCATGGTGGTTGACCTGTCTGACACCTTTGCTGAAACAAGGTTGGGCATGAAGCTGGACTACCAAGAGACATCCATTGGGGCCGTGTACCTCGTCACATGTTGTGGTCCTCGAGCCGGGAGACAGCGCCAGCGCCATCGGGGATGGGAAACTTCTTGGAGGGTTGACTTTGGGGATACAAAGCAACGGAAGCCAAGAAATCAGCACGCTTTTCATGACACGTTGTGTCAGTTGCTGTCTGCAGTGCCAGACCAGACGAGCTTTGCGAATCAAACAATCACATGATAAGCCCTTCCAGTGCACATTGAGGCGATCTCCCAAATTCCCCGGGATGATCTTCTTTCCAAGATGATTAGTTAATGATGAAGTTCTTTTCAATTGGTGCACGCCCCAGGATTTCTGAGCTTATGGAAGGAGGACCTGGGTGGACGTGTGAAGTGGCGCGTCCAAGTAGTGGGTTTTGGCACAACGTGTAGCTGCAGCAGGTCAGAGCACGAGCAGGAAGACGTCGAGACTGGCGAACAATTTCTGACTTGTTCAAGACTTGTTCAGCCTTTAGACTTGTAGAAGAAACTATCACTTTGAAGGAAGATAGCTGCGAGACCACAGAACTGTCGGGTGTGGTGTGACAGGTGTGACATGTTTTGTGTTTGGTGCCTTAACTGGAGGCACCTACACTACAATGGAATTCTTTCACATGCCTCTTCCTTGCAGGACTTGTAGCAAAATGGAATTCTGTGCCGAGCTCAATCAGTATCAGGGGTTCTTTGAAAAGAAATGCTGTTTATGGCCAATCTACTGCAATGTCAGGGATTGAGGACAAGGTGAGTCAGGGATGGCACATTCCTCACCCATATGCTGGGAACTTGTTTCACCACTTCGCCTAGGATTCTTGGTTTTGACCATATTTGCCTCGTATTCCGCCTTGCACCACATGCTTTCATGATGAGGAGGATGATGATGATGATGATCATCATCATCATCATCATCATCAGACACGTAGTAGCGTCCTTGATCCTAGTAGTCAGGCCAGGAGCCCCTAGTAGCTTCTTGCTACTAGTAGCGAGGCCAGGAGCCCCTAGTAGCGTCCTTGCTCCTAGTAGCACTTTTGCACTTGACACACCAAGCGACTCGCGCAGTTCGCTCCTCCAAGGATCATCCGTCAGACGCCATTGGCTTGGGCGACCGCATCGCGCAGGTGAACGGGGAGAAGCTGTCAGGCGTGCCACCGAGGATATGTTCACAACCGAATAGGGTAAACAAGCGCCGTTTTTAGGGTAAACAATGGGATTCACATGTTAGCTGAAGAAACTGAGTGGAGTCAAAAGCTTTCTTTGGACCGTGGAAGTTGCTTGAAGAATGGCATCACTTCTACTCTAGATGTTTTGAGCCCACCCATGTACTGAGACCAATCGCTTCTGCAGTTTCTTTCCGGCAAAGCTTCACCAAAGAAAAGGACACCGACTAAACCAAGAAGAAACACACAGAAAAGGACAAGCCAGGAGAAGAGCAAAACGAAGAACAAAGACGAAAGACCAAAAGCAAAGACAGACAAAACAACGAGGAACAAAGAAGCATTTGAAAGGAACAAAGAACGGAGAACAAAAAGTATATATAAGTCTTGGGATGAAATGAAGTTCAGATTGCAGATGCAATCGTTTCTCAGGGGAATCGACCATCCGTTGAAGAAAACTTTATACTCGCCTCCAGGTAAGAAGCTCTTGTGAAAGGTTCTTGTCTCGGTTCGGCCGAAGCTTGGATCGGATGACAAGGTGCCAAGCTGCTACCAAAGCTGAAGGCAGAGGACAAGCTTGTTCTGACCGTCTTGAAGTATTAGGTTCAGGCTGGTCTGACTAGACTGGTAATCTTGCTCAATGCCCTAGCATGGTTTGCATGATCACAATCAATTGTTTTGGATTGCTTCCAAGTAAGATGCCAGCTGTGCATCCCATGTGTTAACGTTCTTTTCCACACCATGCTGTTCCAAAGGAACAGTTGGGTGGGCACTTTCACCGTATGTTTCGGAGAATCTTATTGGCAATGCGGGTATTTCTGGTTTTGTCTTTTCATTCTTGGGTCTGGATTAGTTGGTGTCCAGTGCACCTGCAGTCAGTCTGTGGATTGACCCCCAACTCACACCTGTTGGATCTTCAGATATACCTGCAGCATCCTGAGAGTTTCATTGGTGGGAAACGCCACCAGGAAAAGGAAAGTGATGAAAGTGAAACAGTTGCCTCACGTGCGAATGACTTTGTACATCTGGCTTTGCACACATCCAGTCCAAGCAACACAGCGTGAGTCATGTCCTGTGTTTTGGCAAGCACGGCCTTTGCGAGGTTTTGGGAAAGAAACAGCGCCTATCGTACTATCGGAGAAATAGCATAATCATACAGTTCAAGCAGCGCCTATTAAGGGAATCCATCACCCTCAGGTGAGTGGAACGCAACAGCTGCCATCGCCACGTGCCAGAAACGTCGGATGCCGAACACGCGCCACGGACGCGGCGAGCCGCTCGGTAGAGATGCCCTTAGACACCCCATCCGCGGTGTCCACTTCGAGGGGCTCAAGGCTCAGGGTTTGGCAAGTTCTCTTGCCTCGGATCCAAACTAGTAGCTTGTACTATAGTAACAAGTGCATTGCTACTATATAGTAGTAATGTACTTGTTGCTAGAAGCTTCTTGTTCTCCTGCCTCGGATCCGCTTGCCCAGAAGTCGGGTGATTTTGGACACCCTCCAGGCAGGTTGCATCGTCGACTTCTCACGCAAGCAAACCCGAAGCAAACCCCAAGCATTCGCTTAATCAATCCCTTCAGATGAACAGCTATCGCACCGACTGATGCGCCCCGGCCCGGCTGTTCAGAAGAGTGAAAGAGACTTGATGGGCGAGGTCCCGGCGGATTTACTTGACATGTCAAATCCTCTTTCAATGTATACTTGACATGTAAATCCGCAAAAAGATCCTTATACTGAAAAAAAGGTGCTTGTTCAGTTTCAAATCAGACCTGGTCTGAAAGTAGAAGGACTCGACGCTTAGTAAGCAGGTCGTTCTGAACGGTTGGCGTGGCTAGGTTTGACGAACCAAATCCAGCTAGCCAACTTTTCGTTGACGTGGCTAGCCTGGCTTAGCTGTATGACATCGCATGGCATCGATGCCGTTCGTTGCGTGGCATCACTGGACTCATCGGTCCAAACCAGATCGATCACCCCATCGGTCCCGGCACCTCGATGTCCTGCCAGCTCTGATAGGTATTGTGGCTCCTCCATCGACATGAATCTGTTATTCATGTGAGTTGAGAGGTAAACATCTCGTCAAGGTCGTCGCTTTGCAGAGGCTGAATCTGTATCGCTGGTCGGCCACGTCCCACGACCATCGAGATGGTGTATGCACCACTACGGACTTCAAGACACGATTGCCCAGGTTTCCCGGATGTAGCTGCGCCCTGTGTTTTTTTTCTTTCAATGTCGTTTCGTGATATGTTTCGTGAACACACATTCTTTATGGGAGCTTGGCGGAAAAAGTGTGGTTTTCAGTTCACATCACCCCTCCCTTTAAGCTGGGCACTTAAAACGTGTATCATTTTTTTGCACTGTTTTGTGTTGTTTTTTTTTGCATTGTTCGGCACCTTTCGCCAGAGGCATGTGCCGCCTGAAGATTTTTTTGCTCACAATTGTGGAAAACAACAACAAGCAGTAGCAAACCCGGCCCAAACCTAGACCCGCCACAGGTGACAAAAAAACTGCCCGCAGTTGAGAAGGCAATATTTTCAGTAGGCTCAGTAGGTGTTATATAAATATGTCTGCCCGTAGTAAATAGAATCATCCGCAACATCCCTCATGCAACCAGAGCAAAGTTCCTTGACAATTGCGGTTGTTACAGAACGAGTTCCGCTCATTTCCGCCTGTTTTCGCAAGTGTCCGCCGGTTTCCGCAAAATGTTGCACGTGAAATGTTCAGACTATTTCTAAAACAACCACAACCATGACCCTGCCAAACCAAATGGCTCAGATTGAACGCCCAAGGACATTTTTTCGTGGATTCAGCCTAAAAAGATGCCTTTTAAGGACAACCCAAACATTTTGCACCTTTTCGAAGGTCTGGGAAAAAGTGCTTTTTCGTCCAAAGGTATGCTTTTCACGTGTCTTTCTTATTTTTTCTCGAAACGGCAACATTTTGGCGTACTTTTGTTTCAATGCATGTTGCTTGTCGGTACGCCGGAAACAGTGTGGCAAGCATTTGGCAAATACATTGTAAAAGTTGGACAAATGCCTGGACATATGTCCTTTCCCTGCGAAAAGAAGCGTTTGTGCCGTTTAAATGGTTGCCAGTTACTGCAAAGTTCGTGGCGACATGTTTCCATTCCATTGTGCGGAATCTGTGTGTTTTGGCAGGTGACGTGTGTGTTTGTGTTTTTCATTTTTGTTGACGGGCCTGACATCTGACGCGCTTGATCCAGAACTTGTGTTTTGGGAAAAGAATCGATCAAACATGGTTCCTTTCCAAGTAAGATGGCATTCAGCATCAATCCTCTTCAAAAAGGATCCCATAGGGTTTCTTCATGTTCGCATTGCTTCGGTGACAGCGTTCTGGCATGTTCCTGCTGCGACTGGCCAAACTGCATCCACTTTGTCACAGGGAGGCCTTTCCCACTACCATCGGCGTCTCGATTCGTGCAGTCTATCCAATGGCAATTTTGTTGCATTTCCAACTTCAAGCGCTGCAGTGCCATGACTGGTGGCAAGGTTGCTTGCTAGGTCTATTTCCTCTAAGCCAAGCTGTGATTCTCGCTGCCCTTCGAGACATCGATATCAGCTCGTTTCATAGCTTTGGTAGCAGACCACCGCATCTTCAGCAGCCAACGCAATCCCGAGAGATGTTTGCGCCCTCCTCGCATGTCAGTGCTCTCTTCCAGGGACAGTTGCCAACGGTAATTACTAACACTTGTCATTCCCGAGATCTTGGACCACAACTTCTGCTGACGACTATGCTTGGGATGGCCTTGATCTGGCGCATGGGACTGGAAATTGCGACAAAGGAGAATGGCACACGGCACAAGCATCCACAACTTGTCTGTCTCTTTGATCTGCGCGAAGATCATTTTGATGGACCAACTCTCCATTGACAAGCTCGCGGGCGGTGCCCTCCGGGCCCCTTTGCCAGCCACACGCCGCACGAAGGCGGAGGAAGGTGGAGCTTCGAGTGCCATCGACGTGTGGACATATAGAGCGACCACTGTTTAGCTTGTCCGCACAGCGGCTCCTTGGCACGTCATCCTGAAATCCACTGGATCTGCATCGCCTTTGGAAGGCTGTCAGGCCGGAAGGCCGCGTCGTCCCTCCACAGTGGCTCGGGCAAACGTGCCAGACTCGCCACCCTGCCAGCAAGGGATGGCGCCACTGCTTGGGGGCTCCATCATCGGCGCCACCATTCTAAGCCTCCGTGGATGTTTCTCTAAGAACACAGAAAGGTGCTGAACAATGGCCTGTGGACTGTGCACTGGTGGCTGTGAGGGTAGAGATTTTGCAAAAACTACATTCCTCGACAAACAGCAGCTTCTCCATGGTTTCCCATCACCATGGGAACTGTGACCCAACGTTGTTGTTGGTGCTGAGGATCATTTCTTAACAGCTAAGTGGTTGAGCCGGGTTGTGGCCGCTTCGTTGGTGGGTATGGGGATCACATGGCCGCACGCCCCCAGTCAGGTTTCCTTGCCCGCCCAGCGCTGCAATATAATGCCGAAGCCAAAGAAGCCAACTGGTAGTAGTAGTAGTAGTAGTAGTAGTAGTAGTAGTAGTAGTAGTAGTAGTAGTAGTAGTACTAGTAGTACTAGTAGTAGTAGTAGTAGTAGCAGTAGTAGTAGTAGTACTAGTAGTAGTAGTAGTAGTAGTAGTAGGAGTAGGAGTAGAAGTAGGAGTAGGAGTAGGAGTAGTAGTAGTAGTAGTAATAGTAGTAGTAATAAGAGTAGTAGTAGTAGTAGTAGTAGTAGTAGTAGTAGTAGTAGAAGTGGAAGTAGTAGTAGAAGTGGAAGTAGTAGTAGAAGTGGAAGTAGTAGTAGTAGTAGTAGTAGTAGTAGTAGTAGTGGAAGTAGTAGTGGAAGTAGTAGTAGTAGTAGTAGTAGTAGTAGTGGTTGTAGTAGTAGTAGTAGTAGGAGTAGGAGTAGTGGTAGTAGTAGTAGGAGTAGTCGCAATAGTAGTAGTAGGAGTAGTAGTAGTAGTAGTAGTAAAAGTAGTTAGAGTAGTAGCAGTAGTAGTAGTAGTTGTTGTTGTTGTAGTAGTAGTAGTAGCAGTAGTAGCAGTAGTAGTAGTAGGAGTAGGGGTAGTGATAGTCGTGGTAGTACTAGTAATAGTAATAGTAAAAGTAGGAGTAGTAGTAGTAGTAGTTGTTGTTGTTGTTGTTGTTGTGGTTGTTGTTACAGCAGCAGTGGCAGTTCTTGTTGTTGTAGCAGTAGCAGCCGCAGGAGTTGTAGGAAGAAGGAGGTGGAGGAGGAGCAGGAGTGAAAGTAGCAGTAGCAGTAGCAGTAGTAGTAGTAGTAGTAGTAGTAGTAGCAGTAGCAGTAGCAGTAGTAATAGTAAAAGCAGCTGCAGCATCAGATCCGCTGCCTTAAAAACGTATTCCAAGACTTGGGTAAGCCTGGTATAATTTCCATGAACCAAGCAAACCCCAAAAGAGATTGTGATGAACCTTGAAAGGAAGGAGTGGGAAAACAATGAACATGTGTGTGTGTTGTTTCCTCCGGCGAACAACGTCTTCCATTGCCACCCACTGAACTATTCAAGGTGTCGGAACAATTTTGCGAATACGTTTCCTTGTCAATGCTGATTGTATGTGCCCGTTATTCAC